CCTAATGCACCTCTCAGTCATCATTATAGGACACACTCGATCACATGCAACAATTCAAGGTCAATGGCAATAGACACGAGATTCTCCCACAAACCGGCCACTTTGATCATGCAATTATTGCTTGAAGCCCTCAAAATTTTCAAATTTAGGCATAAATCAAGGCTCCAAGCATTCAATCACACTCACACAGTCATAATAATAAGCTACCCCCCCCCCCCACACACACACACACTTAACCTCGACATTGCCCTCAATGGCGTAAGATAAGGGTAGAACAATGTTACCGCATGGCTTTGGTGAGTGAAAGTTGGATTTTTTTCCAACGTAGGATATTGGAGCTTCAAGGAGAAGACAAAACAAAAATAAACACACACTCTCGCTCGAGGAGAGGTTATTACACATAACAGTATGTAATGAGGCAAGAAAACTTCATTAACCTCCATTGGGTTACCTCCCAACAAGCCCTAGTGTAACGTCACTAGCTTGACGTTGCGGATCTATCATGCTTGAGTGCACGAAGTCACCAAGAGTGGATCTTCCATGGTCTCGGGGTGAGGCTTGTCGCCTCCCAACTTAAACTTCATGGGGTGGCCTTCTTGGCCGATGACCTTCACTTTGCCCTTGTCCTTTTTTTCGGGCAATAGCGTGATTCGTCTTTTCCCTCCAAGCTTTCTTTTTCCTTTTCTTTGGGTTTGATACCCTCCTTAACTCCTTCTTCACATTGCCACAAGGAACAAGAGTAATAGTGGGGTTCGCCTTGAGAGGCTCTCCTTCACTTGCATTCATATCATTCGATTCCACTTCCTTTACATCCTAATTCCTAGCCTTAGGTTCAATTGCAAGAGTAATTTTCTCCTCACCGTCTCTCAGAATCAAAGTTCCCTCATTAACATCGATTAAAGCCTTGGCGGTGGCAAGGAAGGGTCGGCCTAGTATGAGTGGCATATCTGAATCTTCACTTATATCAAGGATCACAAAATTTGTCGGATAACAGAATTTTCCCACTCGTACAAGCACGTCCTCCGCAATACCCGTAGGAATAATGACAGATCAGTCGGCCAATGTGACACTAAGCCTTAGCCTTCAGTTCACCTATGTCTAGCCTCTCAAAAATCTTCAAGGGCATCACATTAATGCTTGCTCCTAAGTCCTCCAAGGAATTTTCTATGTGATGGGTGCCGATGCAAAGAAGTATGGTGAAACTACATGGATCGGGTTATTTTTTGGGCAACCTGCTAAGGATGAAGGCGGAGCACTCCTCGCCTAGGGTGACATTGGCGAGGTCATGGAATTTCGGCTTCTTGGCGAGAAGCCCCTTGAGGTATTTTGAATACCGTGGCGTATGGGTAATTGCTTCAAGGAAGGGAATGTTGAGGTGGAGTCTTCTGAGCATCTCCATGAAACCTCCACATTCCGCTTCTAATCTTTCCCTGTGCACCCTCGTGAGGAAAGGAAGGGGCGGCTTGTACTCAGCCACTGGAGGTGGCATTGGCGATGCCTTCCTCACCACTATTCTCTTTTCACCAGAGGGTTCTTCATCTCCATCCTTGGGAAGGACATCTTCCTTCTCTATCACTACTTTGGCAACGACCACCAGAGTCACCTTCCCGCTTCTTAATTGGATCACATTCACCCAAGATGATTTCCTCTTTCTCTCTATGGAGTAACTCTCTCTCTCTCTCTCTCTCTCTCTCTCTCTCTCTCTCACCTGGGTATGAAGAACCCAAGATTTGTATGTTAGGTTTGATTATACAACAGTAACGGATCTGGTTCCTGGGTCGGACCAGGTTTGGTTCATGGTCGGTCCAGAATGTTTGACTTGCTTGACCGGGCTTTGAATTTGGCAGACTTGGGCTCTGATTTGGGCCCTTCTTTTATTCTACCACTTGCATTTAATATTGTAATTCACTTTATTTAGTATTTGTAATGCAATTGTTATTCATAGAAGAAAATTATTATGCTTCTTTTTCCATTACAAAAGTCGAGATCTAACCTCGTCAAGCCCAATGTAAGAAAATCGATTGGTTCACGTGATAAACAAATCAAGCTAAAGTTTAATTTGTCTAATACTATAAAATAGTATTGATCGAGATTCGCTATTGCTAAATCTCATCGAGTTATGGTGAACAAAACTCAACAAAAAGTCCTACAAATACGTTTTGGCATTTTATTTTAGCTAAAATGCCATTAAAGATTTGCCATTACAAAATTTTCAATTTACTTAATTAAATATGTTTTACTCGGACAAAAATGGGTGTCTACAACTATCATTATATCTGGATTTGGTGAATTACAATTCGGCTTAACTGCAATCTAGGGGAACCATATCCGAGTGACCTCTCTCGAACTTGAATCACAACTTCACTACTTTGTGTTTGTTAGATTAAATACAACTTCACTATAGTCAAACTGCTAAATAACAAGAACTTTATGGATTAGTCATCACATCTAGGACCCGAGTTGACAATTAAAGTTAAACTCGCAATACTACGCATTAGCTTGTGGTTACACTTGGCCATTTTCTAGTGTGACAGTAATGGTGAGTCAGTCCCCGCTGGAGCGCCCCCGACACCTACAGACGCTCCCCCATGCTACCCATCTGCTTTCGAATCGGACCGATTTGGTTCGGACCAGTTCGACCAATTCTAGTTGACAGTTAACGGTCTGGTCCGACTCTAGTTCGGGTCCGCTTCTGATTCCATTTCTTCGCCACCAGAAGCGGCGATCAACCCCTTTCTAGCCCCACGGGCCCAGGCTCCACCCTCCAACCTTCCTGGCCAGCGAAGCTCAGTTCGTCTCCTTCCTTTCCTAGGCCGAGTCCATTGAAGCTTGGCCCACCCAAAATACCAGACTAGTCCCTCCGCGACCCATCCGACCACGGCTCTCCTGCATACTCGACCTGCTTCTTCTTCCAGCGAGCCTCGTAGATCTCCTAAGTCGTCCCGCCAGGCAGCAAACCCCGGCCCGCTGAATACCGGGTCCAACGAGGCCGCATTGGCCCGGCTCCCTTCTCCAGCGCCGTTGATCACCAGCGTCGTCTCATGCATCGATGGTGGCGGCATCCCACGATTCGTTAGAACCTCGACCATCACCTCATTCATCATTCCTGCAAGTTCTTGTTGCTCTCGGCCATACTCCTGCCCAGTTCCTCGATCGAAGTCTAGATCTGGCCTCCCTTAGCTTCAATGGCTCTGATCGATCCCGTCGACACCCAACAACTCTTTCGGTAATAGCTGTCAGGTTTTTCAACATCGTGACCATCACATCATACTTGGTCACGGTCACGTCCTTGACAGTCACGACATCCTTGGTAGACCTCTGCGGTTTGTCTGTCGGGTTCTTCATCATCAGAGATCGTCACACCAGCCAGGCTATGATACCAATGAGAGAACACGGGTTTAGGTGTGCGATTTAGGGTTCACGAATTGAGGAAATTATGTACTGAACTAGGAGATGAGGAGAGAATTAGGGATTTGATGAGAAAGAACAGATAGTTGAGTTGAGGAAGAAATAGAAGTCGAGTCCCGGGAGAAGGGAGGCCGACGACAATAGGGTTGAGAGAGGGAGGTATTCATCTAGGTGAGAGAGAAGTAATTGAAGGAAATAATTCTTATGTTATTGCTTAACCTCTAATTCTCCACTAAACACAGAATATATAATCCGACTAATTCCTACACCTGCCAGAATAATTAACCTGACCCAATAAACCCCACGAGTTCCCAAAATATCCAACATGACTTCAAAACATCTCGAATAATAAATAACAACAAGTGAGTCCCAAAATAATTAGTTTCTGACAATAGACCAATTTTAACACAGATGGAGCGACGCAAATCATTCAAGAATAGCTACAGCGGGAGGGGCTCTCGAAAATAGTAATAGTGATTGGAAAGGTGTATTTTGCTACAGAATTGGCACGGGTACAACTATTGATAAGAGCGTGATTCCACGAGCTCGTTTGTTCATAAGTACGCAGCGACAACGATCGTGATAACGCGGAATCGATAACGAATATGAGATGGAAAGGATAGATCATGGTCACAATCAAGTGTGATCGCTTGATTTATACGAGTCGTGCCAAGCTCTTCTGCATTCTTCAACAGAACAACTCAAACAAGGATCTTCCCCTAGCTATGGCATCCACCAATAGCTAAACCAATAAACCATAACCCCGTGACTCCATGGGGAAAACACACATCGGTGTACAATTCTTATTTCAACAAAGTCTAACCCTAAATTTTGTGCTTACAAGTTACAGCCCTTTATATAGCCTAGGGCAAATAAAATAACCAAAAAGAAGAAGAAAAAAACTTAAAACGAAAATGTAATTTTATCCCGTCAGACCAAATTCCACGGTCTCCCTCCTTTAAATCATAGTCGTGGATTTTGACCTCCTAACCGTGGGTTGTTCTTGCTTCAAATCCACGATCCAAAGCTCAATTCCATGGCCGTGAATTTTGTGCTGCTCGAGAATCACATAAACTATTCTAGCGGAGCTTTGGGGCATGCACCAAGAACTCGGTTATGCTTGGGAAAAGGGAACCAAAATTCTACTGCTAGAGACAAATTCCAAACTGGCAAGGTGATTAAGAACCACAATGATTCTCTTCATCCCCATGCTACTGTATTAAACGCTATTCGCAGGATGATTGCTCCAGATAGAATAGTTCAAATAATTCATATTTATCACGGGGGAAAAGAATCGCGGACTAACTATCTCTTTTATCACGTATGAACTATTAGACCTACAAGTTGATATGGGAAGGATCCTTGGAGAAGATTTGATCGGAGTTAGCTTCCAGCGCAGGGTCCTGTTAGCTTCCATCTGAAGTTTGGCTTTTGCTTTGTTTTCTGTGGTTTTGTTCTGTTTTTTATTTCCCTCTGATTGTTTGTTGGGGAAGGCACTCGGTCATGTTGAGTGTCTTTCCAGTGCTGTATTAGGTTTCATTTTGGCGCAAGGCCTACACTAAATAAAAATATTATAAAAAAAACTACGTGTCCCCCACGAAAGGTTCCAAACGAACACTTTAAACTACAACTGCTCCTGGATCTACTTAAGGAATAAAGAGAGTACAGTACATAGATCTGCTCTCAAGTCTCGGATTCCATGTTTAAACCTCCACTGTAATTTCCAGCCAAAACATCAATCAATACTGATCATAGTTCTCCGTCTAATTCAAAGAGAGCAGCCAGCCCCTATAGGGGGTTCGGACTCTTTTTCCGTCTCCTTTTCCCCAAGCTGAAAAACTTCTCTGTCTTCCTCATCCAAAGTGGACATCAGCTCTTTCTTTACCCTTAGGGCGTCCTCCACAGAGTAATTTTTCGGCGGTAACAAATCCTCATAATCATCTACAAAAAGAGAGATATCTTCCATCAGGAAAAAAATTAACAAATCTAAATCATCAAGCCCCCAACATGTTTAGAAAAAGTCAACCAACCCCTCCTCCCAAGTCCCAACTAATGAACTACATCAACAAGCTCATCCACGCACAATGCGACATTAGAGCAATCTTGCGGCAAGATGATCAGAAGAATGAGACATGACATGATTAACAAGAACTCCACAATAAGTTCTTTGCTTTAGAAAACAACACATCTACCCAAGGGCCAAAGATGTATGCACATATGCCCTCCCAGATGGATAATGCAGAGCATGTAATGTTGTACCAAACTGATTCAACAATAAACTTGTGCATAAAGGTATTAATGATGTATGCCACTTCACTGTATTGACCAACCATTACCAAGAAACAAACATCGGGAAAAGAAGAGGAATTCCCCCTCATGTTACGTACAAGCTCATTCATAATGGCAAAACTCTGCCAATCGAAAGGCAGAGGACTGCATTAACATAAACTACATATACTCAACATGAAGCCTTGAGATTTTAACACAATGCAGCATTCACATAATTATTAACTCGAGAGCAACCACTGTATTATAGACTGCATATCAGTTATCTTGATAACCTAACCATTTAAGTATGCACCTCTTGGACTACATAAAACAAATTATTGTTGGTTACCTTTGCCAATTATTTTCCTCCTGAAGACAGCAACTTTATGACCTCTCATTGAAAAGGGGTAATAGGCCACCGCGGTCTGATAAACCTGGACTTCACCAGGGTGTTCGGAGCCTGTAAAAGTCACATAGAACCACCAGCAAGCATATCGCTCCATAGTCGTGTTCAGAATTTCTCCTAAAATCAAGCTCTTGCTCTGCAAGGAACATATTCGCGCATGAGGAACGGCAAGCATGATCTAGTTTTTCTGGTCAGTGAATTCAGTGGTGGAACTAATTGACTATTTCTTTTATCAATACAATAACAATAATAATTACCTCCACACTCTCATATTTCCAGATGACGAATTTAACCGAAGCCAGAATCAGCTCGTCTAGATTCCGAAGATGCCAGTAATGATCTCGGTGGAAAACACCACCACAGCAAGGGTAGTTTGGTTGGCAATCAGCATAAAAATTCTGCATGTGCTTAAGAACAATCAGAAAAGATCAAATTCGACTACAAACCACCCATACACATTAATCAAACCCTAGTTTTTCTTTTGTTTTTTTTTTTCTTCTTACCACGAGGCACTTTCCATCGTAACAAAGACAGTAGAGGGTATATGCAGCTTGCCAGTTAGAACTTGAATAATAATTGATTAGTAAAAATGTATAATTAGGTTGGAACGGAACTACTTACTCCGGTGACCCACTTCTTCCTCCTGTGATGGATGACGCGCAGCTTGAGTTCTTGGTCGCCATTAAAATCCTCGTCAAGGTCTACATATTCGCTATCGTCATCCTTGGGTTTGAATTTGCGGTTTTGAAGCTTTCGGCAGCATTTACAGAATATATCCCCGTACTCGTTCGCTGGAAAATCATCTTTAGTCCCCGGCGGATCAAAACACACCTCTGGTTTAAGGCCCACCTCACCCGGGAACAATTCGTCCTCCGACGATGATACCTCCTCCTCCTCCTCCGGAGATTCAAGGGACACCGAGGATTCAAGGGTCTCCTCCTCCCCCGAGGATTCAAGGGCCTCCAATACAAGGTCAGATTTCTCCTTTTTCGATTCAGGGAACATCTCTCGATCAAGAGCCTCCCCCTCCAATTCATCCGGTTTGGGAGACATAGGGATGGCTATATCTGCATCGAGTGCCTTCGACATCTCTGGATCAGGGTCAGGGAAAGGGACGGATATACCTGCATCGAGGGCCTCCTCCTCCGATTTGGGAGACATCGGCGTCGGTCTTTCGGATTTAAGGGATTTCACCCCGTTCCGCTTAGGCGTCGGTCACTCCGTCAATTTTAATTAATACATGTTAATGGATTGATTTGTTCAAATATACGTATAGACGCTCGCGTGCTAACATGTCAGTGTGCTAAACTATTTATGTTTGGGAAATATGAGAACTTGAGTTTGGTAAAGTCAAGAGATGGGGTAAGTAATGAGCTTCATTTGGCTTGTTTCGTAACCTTAATTTCCTTGATTATTTGATGTTCAGAGAATGTGTATCCTTCGACTAATGGAAACATGAGCTTTCTCGGCTTGAAAGTGATGGGTAAGTGATGAATTTCATTTGCTTTGTTCAATAACTGGTGGGTGTCTTTGTAATGCTCTTGGGTTCTTAGCTGTTGTTCCTTTAGTGAGTTAGATTCATGCCTTTGTCCCGATTGAATGATACTGTGCCTTTTTTGTTGTAAATTTATGGGAACTTTGGGTCAGGCTCACTATTTGTTCTTCAACTTTAAAGTTCTCTTGCATATCGCATAGCCGTTTAGAGAATCATCACCCTTCATCTCTTACTTCTCAATGATTCTCCTTTCTGTGTTTTTAAAAGGTCTGTTCCGTGTAGTTTCTCCTTGATCTTGCAGTCATGTATTCATTATTATTCTAAGGAGTTCCATTTAAACACCACATTTTAAAACCTATTTTGCATAAAAAGATCATTTTTAAAACCTACATCTGTTAGCTAAACTGAATGTGAAGAGACTTCTGTAATTTGGCTTTAACATCTTGTATTTGTAATATCCATGTATATGTACTTCTTTGTTGTTAAACGGTAATGTTGTTTTCAGGTTGGCAACTTTAGATAATTTGCTTCCCTTGATTAAAGATAAGATTAGACAGGCGAATGAAATGGATCAATTGGAGAAGCAACATTAGCAGGATGTCAAGGAGAATATTGAAGTATCAAGAAAGAATCTCCATTCAAATGTGAATTCATCTCAACCTTTCTCAAATCCAATATCTGTTGATGTACGTGTTAATTGAGCCGTTTACAAGATATACCTGTTTTCTGTTCTGAGTTCTGTTTAAGCTGTGTGAGATGGAAGATTATGATTTCCATGTCTGATCAACTTTGAAGCTGTGGAAATGCAATATTGTATTTATGAGGGTGACCCTGAGGATAAACACTAGGAACTTTCCCTTTAGTTTGTCTCTGATTACGTATGTATATTGAATTTCCGAAAAAAGGATTCATTAGGGAATTCATACTAGCTAAAAGAGTAGTGCGGTTACTGGTGAAGATATGAATATGGCTACGGTCGACTTTTATGCAAAGGCCCCTCTCTTTTGTTTTTACTATTGAACAACCATGATGAGATCGGGAGGAGAAAGATTGCAAGAGCAAATCGGGACTGAATGATAAAGTAGATAGGGAAGAAGGCTTGCATTCATGAATCTCTTTCTAGACCTTAGGAATTTACTATCAGAGGTGGTAGTCGGTTCCATTTCAAGCCAACAGAACGAGGATAGATGATTGATTGAATATGCACTCTTGAACTAATGGTGCAAAGTCTTTGGAGTGGTGTCTTAGTCATTTCTAGGGAATTTCCTTTTTCCTGCTTTCATTTTATTATATTTTTTATAGCTATCTTATCAACCATATTTTTGTTTCTTTTACTTTTTTCAGTTACATGATGACCAATGAAGGATGTGAAATGGATGAGAAATATCTCTATTGCATCTCCTGCATAAGCAGAAAACACGGAGGGTTATGGTAGGTCACACGTCTTTGATAGGCTATTTAGTTTCATTTTGGGATCAAACCAAGGAAGACTTGAACAATGAACTTAGAGAGTATCTCAAGGATTATTTCATATTTTTCAAATTGAAATTCTCCTTTGGTCTTCACATGTATTTGTTTTGATATGACTATAGTAGATCCTATATCATTCCATCTTGGATCCATTAGCATGTATAATGTGGACGATCATTATTTTACTTAATTTTAATTGTGGTGGTTAGATGTTGACGAGAAGGTTCGTTGTTCTTATATTTAGTAGGATCATGGAAAGACCAACAAACATGACAAAGTAATTGTGGAGTATTTTTTTCAACTGAGAGCAATTGATTGTTGGCTATGATACGGAGAGTTGATACTTGATTGTCACAATGACCACTCATTTTTTAAGTGAAAATATTACACTTTACTGTTTTGTACCTAACTAACATGGTGAGCTTTTTTTTTTGGTGTAAATCGTGTAATAACATGGTGAACTTTGATTGAAAGGAAATATATGTCAATTTTTTATTAACTGGAGACTCGATTATTTCACTACCTTTGCAGACCAAAGTTTTGGATTCCCTTTCAATGAATCACTAATCGCTTGCTTACTAATTGGTTGTCATTGATATATGTACTTTATTTGTTCAAAAGTAAAAAATTCCCATCCAACCAGAAATATTATTGGTTGAAATGTGGTGGCTTCCTACAAAAAGAATTATTATTGGTAGACATATCTCACATGCATCAGTCCATTGATTACCAAATAGAAACTAATACATATGTTCAATAACTATTGCGGATCAATTTGTTAAGTTATTATCTCATTTTTAATGGAATTTTTAACATAGCTCATGTTTGATAATTTCCAAAGTATAGGGTATGTTTATGTAAAAAATAGTAGAGGGGCATGTTTGATAAAACTACATGGTAGAGGGACATATTATACCTATAATCCTTTTTTTACCATTCTTACCACTTTATCTTTTAGCACAGGCTGATATCTAGAGTGTGCATTCCTATTTCCAATCCATGACCACCCATGGATTCCCACCTAGGTCATCACTACATGGAGGTAGTGACAACATTAATGTTCATGTTGTTATTGTCAAAGATTGTATGTGTTTCACATCTTTCAATCACTCCAAAAGAAACATGATAGGTTTATTATAATTCCCTTTTTTCCTGCGAATGCTAACAATGGTGAGAAGATAAAACAAACCAGAAGGACATATATACTATGTTTTCTTCCTCTTAAATGTGTTTCATGCCTATATATTTTGCAAACAAGCTATATTTGCATTCTCACCAATATTTTAGTCTCCATCTCAATTTGAATAATTAAATTTGTATTTCTTTTCACTTCCAAATTTTAAACTTTCTTCTAATTACTTTCGTAACTATAAGGGGTTTTCCTACTCATGGAAACCTCTTATTCAGTTCAAATTGAAGTGTTGTCCTCACCTGTCTGGTAGATACATTGAATATTTGCTAGATGTTCAGTTTAATTAACTCGAAGTAGTTCTCATTTTTGCAGTTTTCTTTGGTATCCTAAACACCGAAACAAATTCACGTCACTTATTCCCTATTCCATTACCAACTAATGACAAGTAACTAATGAGATGCTACCCTCACAATATACATGATCCAAGAGCATTATTACGTCCATACCAATAGTTCAATATTTGGGTGAACTACCTCCGACCAACGGATCGGGTTATAAGCTAGTTGAATTATTATATGTCAATGCAAACTAATCGCCGCCTGCGGCCCAATTTCCGAGTCCAATGCCGCTTGTTGCATTTTTGTAGCCTTTGGACTTCGGTGTTAGTAGTGGCCCATAAAGATTTAGATCTTTTCCCCTAAATAATGACAAGAAAAAGAAGAAAAAAGTAGAAGAAAACCTCTTTAAAAATTAGAATCCCATGACATCATTTTATGAGTAGTCTAGTGGTTAACCCATTCTAAAAAACTATACAATGAAAATAAGACTCAATGTAACATCCTCTATCAAATGAAATAAATAGAGTAAATTTAAAAAGGAAAAAATAAATTTCTTCTACAAAATTTACAACCGCGATTCTATGTCGTGGAATTCGCGTCATTGACGGGAGAAGATGTAACTTGAAGCAATAATAATCATAATAATTGATTATTATTATGTATTTAGAAGTAAAGACAAAAAGAAACTAAAAACAAAAATATACATTTATTGAGACAGCTGGGATTTGAACCACTACATTATACTTCCAAGACAAAAAGGCTTTTGAACCACTACATTATACTTCCAAGAAAAAAAGGCTGACCACTAGGCTACCCCTAATTTCTTGTACAAATACTTCTCCAGTTTTATTAAATAAAATGGTAATTTCGACCCTGATGTTTGAGTCCAGCTAGCCTTGATCTCGGACAATGTTGTTCCAGGGGAAGAGGCAGCAACCTTGACGTTGCTAGGCTGACTTGAGC